TGCCCTATTGAAGTGATGGCATGCTTTCAAACTAACCCGTATATCAAAACTGCTATGAGTGGGCGCCGTATTTCTCTCAAGCCAGTGATCCATCAGCGTCATTGCTACCCTCATGGGAACAGGGCGTGAAAGTATAGGAACGCCATGAGTTGTTGTTTAATCCCACGGCTTAGGTTATTGTGTTTATGTTCACAACGGCACGTACTGCAATATATGACCCACAGGGAAGAACTATTGCACTCAATTTCTCCCCAGAGAGAATAAGGCGATCATCCGCTCATGGTCGTCCACTAAATGATACCCATTGCGAAGGCGACTAATAGGAGTTGAAAGTGGAAGTGAATGGAGAATCGGAGAAGAAGAGGGATCAATTGGCGCTCTGGCCCAGGCTCGGTACTTAGCCTATACCTCTAGAAGAGGTGAAGGTGGTGTAGAAGCAAGCTGACGGTTCACTACGTGCGCGGTCCGAGGGTCAAATCCTTGAATTCATCTCGCGCAGGCTACGCAGGCTGACCAAGCCTTCTCCTATACGGGGACTCTAAACTAGCACCAGATTTGTTCAGGAGGATAAGCCACCAGGATTCGGAATGGAGGTGTTAGGTTGGTCGAATAGACTTTACAGCATTTTAAATGAAATTCTCTCCTTTGTTACTTTATTAAGCATGTAATGGGGATCGAAAAAAACTAAGTGGTGTCTACGAGGTAGCGAAACTGCGCGAGGTCCCCTAGATCGAGCCTTGGACTTGATGATACTGTTCAAGTTTCCTGGCCGTCATGCCGAGAAACTGCAGCTGGAATTGCGAGGGCTAAGGATGTGGCGGGGCTTTCAGGCTCAGCTACTCGACTAATTGGCTGAACTGATTGGTAAGCTTGGAAGAAGTAGAAGTACAGTCTTCTCCTCTGCGGACGATAGAGCGTGTGAGTGAAGCTCCTTTGGCGTTCTGCCACCCCCTTCTGCACCCGTTGTTGAAGAGGGTAAGCTACAACAACGGATGGGAAACGACCGATGCAAACTATATTATACGTTGCCGGAGCAAAAAAAAAAAACTGAAAAAAGCGGCGCTGGCACAGCGTCACCCATTTTCCCTTGACGCCACATCATCCGCAACGAACAAGACTGTAGGTACATATGGTAACCTAATGGATAGGATCAGTAAGTATATAAGTCAAGCTCGGGTTTAGGCCGAGTCCACGATTTTGTTGTCCTTGTCTGAACGGTAGATAAAATCAAGAAACAAATCGAGCCCCGCAAACTTGAGCAGCTCGAAAGGTCCTCAAATTGTTGCTCGTTCAGTTCTCTAATGATTTATCAGGCGGAGATCGGCTTGATGACGGCACTAAATGGAACTCAGCTAGGCTTGTGCAGGCCACCTTATGAAAATCTGTGAATTCATGGGGCCAAAGCTGCTCATTCGCATTATTTCGCAGCTTCACAGGAGTGTGGCACGGGTCCAACAAAGGAAAGAAGTTTCACTTGTTGTTGAACATGAATTAACCGAAACAGACTAACAAACGGTGCAAAATTCCCAAGTCCCACACACGAAATGTTCACTCCATATCCTTCAGAGATCTACTGAAATTTTTTTTCAGCAAATCGAACGCGAAAATGCGTACTGGCAGCATTACAGCGATTAGGTGCTGCATCAAATTGCTCACAGCACTTCGACTCTGCTCATTTGTCGTGGCTTGACGAGTGCTATCGTCATGAAGACCATCGACGAATCGCAACCGATTCAGAAGAAGGTAGTTTCCGGAGCATATATGTTCATTCTTATCCCGAAGATAGGGAGGGCGTGCCTACGTACATACTCCATCTGAAGATGAGGATGCATTTTTCGGGGATATTTCCATTTGAGGCAATTGTCATCAGTCTGTAATGAAATAAAGAGCAGTTGGCTACAGTCGTCCCAAAGCGGCCCAATTACATCACCAAAAGTTGCAGCTGCCGCCACGTCAAGTGAAAACGCGCAGCCGCGCCTACCTCATCTATGCGGATATAGCGTATATGCTATCAGGGAGAACTATCAAGGCAAGGATATGCTTGTCGCGACTGTTATACAGACTATCAATGAAAATCAACAGCATATACAGATTATCAATTAAAAAAAGATTTCTCAGTAGCAGAAGTTTCAAGTTCTTTACCCTTTGCTTCCCTAATCGTAAATTAGAGCACCTTTTGATTAAATTTTTTTCTTTACGCTCAGGCCAGAGTTTGGAACGAGGAGAAGGCACTAGATCATCTGAATGACCCATCGCTCGCGCTCCTTTCTTAGTGAGATCTGCTGGAATCCAGAAGCAAACCGCGAAACTCAGATTTCTTTATTATTTCTTTTGATATCTTTATTTATTTACTCACATTGTTATGGATGTACTGATTTATTTCATTCTCTCCTTTTCTCTTAGTAGAAGACCCACTCTTTTCCTCGATTTTCTCGATCCCACTGTTGCAGCACGATTTATTTCGTCATTTTCACGAATATGCAGCCTCTTTTGCGACCCATTGTGTTCTCGTGCAAGCATCGGGATAGCATTTTGCAAACCTACGGCCTTTTAATGCGCTCTAACTGCTCTGCCCATGCCTGCCCAACGCTTCACGAATCTCCCAATAGACGCATTCAGAAACGATTTATTTGCGGCTTTGGACGCTTTGCCGCTGGCCTTAGTTGAAGAAAAGAATCGACCGCTGAAAAGGCATAAGTACCCATCCGTTCGAAACAAGTGCTGGGAAGATGTGTTCAATGGGAACTTTTTGATAAATGGGGGTTCATCGCTAGATCGAGTAGTTTTTACCTGGGTCGTAATGACTCGGCGGGCATGATGCACGCCTTTGCTCGAGCAAAATCACTCCTAAAACATAGCTTTGGCAATTTAGTAGTCATATGCAAATAACTTCGCATCTAGAGTGGGACCTTATGACCCGGGGGGGGGGCATCTGCAAGCTCTCAGGTAAATGTCGGCATATAGCTTTTCCAATCGTATTAACTGGCTGCTTATATAACACTGGACATTCGTGTCTGTCCCTGCCGGTTCTGTAAATCCCTGCCAAGTACCCTATGAACTCCTGTACTCTGTAGTGCTATATATCCGATATATTGAATCCATTTTCCAAGTTTAACCATTTTGACAAAATTGACAAGAGCTGACAGGTGATAACAAGAGTTGACAGGTGATAACAAGCTCAGAAGTGTTGACACAGCTATCCGTATTCGGATGTGGCGTTGACAGAGAATCGTGATTTCGCCGCCGCGTTGCCTGGGCCGTCCGCCGCGTGCGACATTCTGCCCCGACATGAATTGGTTCCAGCGTGTGTAGGTGGCGACGGACAGGCAAATTTCGAAACTGAAAGTAGTCATGAATGTCTCACGATGAATGAGGTCTGCATGAAGTCCGGTGCTCAATCGACAGGTTAACACGAGTTAAGAGAATGCCGCGCCCATCGCCGCGCGCGGCAGAGCAGCAAGTTACGATTCTCTTGCCCGTCTCCCCTGGTACTTACATAGAAAGTTTACAGGATTTGGTATGTTGACACATACCGAATCCTGTAAACTTTATGGCTTACAAGTGTTTTTTTTTACCACCCAGGTCCAGTAGCGCCCAGCACTGCAGTAGGAAAAACAAAAAAATTACCAACCATAAGTTAGTTGAAAATCGAAAAGGGATAGAAAGCATAGGATTAACCCAGATTCCCTGTGGCTTATTTTCGGTCCACTTATTTATTTATTTGTTTATTTTCACATTGAATGTGCCTTACTGTGCTATTTAACCCCATGGGAAGATTAGAATGCGACTCCCAAAAAAATGCGAACCCGTCACGTAAGGGGTTTTCGTAAAAAGCAAAAAATTTCGTAGAAATAATCAATAGGGCGGAGGAAGGATTGATACTCATATAAACATAATACGTTTGCTGTTCATATCGTCGTTATCCTTTGGGAGGAGTCTGGAAGCGTAGAATGAGCCTACCCGCGGCGTTTTCTCCACTGGTTGCTTCCCATCTCGAACAGCCAGGTAGAAAATACAGCCACGGCGCGGATGGGCTACCCCTCAGGTTTGGTGCCACGGATATCAAACTATACATATTTCGCGATCTAGTAGATAGAAATCGTTCTTACTTGTCGCTGCTTATAACCCGGTAAGTTTCTAATTAAAAAGGATTTTTCAGGTCTTTCCACGCCCCAGGGTCTCATGTCGCTGCTTGACTATTTTACTGCTTGTTTATCATCTCCTGTTTTTTTCTAGATAGTTTTTTTTCTTGAATGATTTTCTCAATTCCAGAGAAAAAAGGAAAAGTGAAGATTGAGAAGAGCGGTGATGGAAAAGATTACGAGTATTGGACCTTGATGGATTCCGTTCTTTTTTGTTATACAGTCATTACCACAATCGGTAGGTCCAGCACGCTTTTTCACTGTTCTTGCCGTGTCACATTTCGAAGTTTCTATGCGCAGGAGGGGCAAGTAAAAAGTGAATGGCAGCCAGTATATGTAGTTGTTTTGGCGCTGGAGCTTGTCAGCAGGCTGTGCGCGCAGTACCGCGGCCCGTTTTATCAACTGTTGTCACTTGCCCGATCAGAGTAGTGGGAGAACTTTTGCGCGATCGAATGGGAGAGGGCATTTGCCACTTTTACTGCTTTACTGCTTCCGGTTTACAAGTCTCACTGTGGTGAAACTTGTGAACGGTTGTAAAACTGGGGCAAGCTCGCCTAGCCACCATGGTAAAACGTGTAAACTCAGTAAGAAGCTATCTAGATGGCTCGACACATTGATGGGAAGCAAAATGCCCCCGACCCAGCCGCCGCCGATCTGCAGCCGTACTTTCATCTTCTAGCGCTGAAACTCAACACCACTTTGGCTTAATATTGAAAAAAACAGGCTGTCACCTATTTAAGGTTACGGTAATGTCGCTCCACGTACCTTCAATGGTCGAATATTCGTGATACTCTACGGGCTGATCGGAGTGCCGTTCACTATGTTAGCGATTGCCAATCTCGGCAAATTCCTGGCCACTGTACTCAAAACATGGACACGACCATTCGTCAAATGCGCCAGGTATGATTAGCAGTAATACAGTGCATGTCTGAGGGCAGTGCGGGGCGCCCTGGCGGCAGTCAAGTGTTCCCGTTCCGACTCTACTCTCTCATAACTCCTTATCCCTGAAACGGAGTAGGCGTGGCATTCTGAGCATGGCATAGAATGGGTTATTCGTGGGATATTTTGAAACGGAACCACAGCCATCTTGTTCAGTGTTGGACATGACTGCAATTATGTCAAGATGAAAATATCTCACCAAAAGCACAGCCACCGCCACGTTTAGTCGAAAAACGCAGCCACGCCTATCATATCAGGGATTTCAAATGTACAGGGGGGGGCAAAAAGTCACTTTTCTTCCTTGACTTTCAAGGCGCTATAAGTTACACTTTATTAAATTCTGATTGGACATTTCCACCACCATATTCAACAACACATTGTACACTATCACGATACTCCGCCACAGCCTTCTGGACGAGCGCCATCGAGAGATTCTGCCACGCGACCGTGATTCGGTACCTGAGTTCAGCGAGATCGTTGATTTCTCCGCCACTGTAGACCACCCTGTTGAGCTCCGCTCGGACCCAGTAATCGAGGGTTTAGGTCAGGTGACACACTTAGATATTCCGTCTTCTTCAGGTACTCAACGCCCTTCCATTCCAAGTAGGCGAGAGTTTTTCCAACGCCCTTCGATTCCGTGTGGAGGCACCCAATCCTAGCAGTACGAAGTCTCCAAGAAGGTACAGGCGATGACATGAAGGCAGGATATTCTCCACGAGTTGGTCGATGTAACCGTCAGCGCTCACCTTCAGTCCGGGTCCACGAAGAAAATATCGGTCTTCACATTCCAGGTACTTCCGGTCCATACCACCAACTCGCTCCTTTTCGGTGAAGATGATGTCCTGGACCGTAGCGACGTTGTCGGAGCTGCTCGATGTTGGGAGTCTTCCAGATCAAGA